TTCTGTTCTGTTCTGTTCTGTTCTGTTCTATTTCTAGTCTATTCTAGTTCCATTATCTGCAGGGAGACCACAAGGTCTTCATCCCAATTTTGATTAAAGCCACTTTTCCTGGAAAAGCCGCCCCTGCCAACGACGGTCTTCTTTCTTGCTCAAAACTGCCTCTCTGCTTCCAGGAACTTCTGCATCTGCCGAAGTGAGCAAACCGAGCATCCTGTTTCACACGGCTGTCATGGCAACTCACACAGCATAACAGAGTCACAGAGCTGGAACGGAGGTCTTTTAGTCCACCCCCCTTGCTTGAGCAGGAGATCCTAGGCCAGTCTCTTCTTGGAAACCTCCAGTGATGGAGCCTCCACAACTTCTGGAGGCAACTTCCGTTCCACTGGTTCAGGGTGGGCAACCTTGGCTCTTTTATGACTTGTGGACTTCAACTCCCAGAATTCCTGAGCCAGCCATGCTGAGGGGAAAGGGAGAGGTTTCCAAGCTGAGCCATGCTGGCTCAGGAATTCTTGGAGTTGAAGTCCACCAGTCATGAAGGGGCCATAGTTCCCCCATGTTGGCTGATGAATTCTGGGAGTTGAAGTCCACGAGTCATGAGGGGGCCATAGTTCCCCCATGCTGGCTGAGGAATTCTGGGAAAGTCATGAGGGGGCCATAGTTCCCCCATGCTGGCTGAGGAATTCTGGGAGTTGAAGTCCACCAGTCATGAAGGGGCCATAGTTCCCCCATGCTGGCTGAGGAATTCTGGGAGTTGAAGTCCGCCAGTCATAAAAGAGCCCAGGTTGCCTACCCCTGCACTGGTTGATTGCTCTCACTGTCAGGAAATTCCTCCTTAGTTCCAGGTGGCTTCTCTCCTTGATTAGTTTCCATCCGTTGTTTCTTGTCTTCTGGTGCTTTGGAGAATAGGTGGACCCACTCTTCTTTGTGGCAACCCCTCAGATATTGGAAGACTACTATCATGTCATCCCTAGTCCTTCTTTTCACGAGAATATAGAATAACAGAGTTGGAAGGGACCTTGGAGGTCTTCTAGTCCAACCCCCTGCTTGAGCAGGAGACCAGGCCTACACCATTTCAGACAAATGGCTGTCCAGTCTCTTCTTAAAAACCTCCAGTGATGGAGCATCTGAAGGCAACTTCCGTTCCACTGGTTAATTATTCTCATTCTCGGGAAATTTCTCTTTCATTCCAGGTTGCTTCTCTCCTTGGTTAGTTTCTTGTCTCCCCTTCTGGTGCTTTGTAAAATAAATTAACCCCCTCTTTTCTGTGGCAGCCCCCCCCCCCAAATATTAGAAGGCTGCTATCATGTCCCTCCTGGTTCTTCTTTTCATTAAACTAGACATACCCAATTCTGCAATGGTTCTTTGTATGTTTTAGCCTCCAGTTCCCTAATCATCTCAGTTGCTTTATGATAGTCTTGGGAAACTTCAAACCGTGCCAGCTGGGGAATTCTGGGAGTTGAAGCCCACCCCTCTTTAAAGTTGCTGAGGCAGAGAAACAGGGATCTGAACCGTTGCCCAGGATATAATGCAAGGAAGACATGTTCCCGAAGCGACTGGAAGCTGCGAGGAAATTTAATTTATCTAATTGGAAAATGGTCAGGAATCTCTCTAGCACTACCGTAGATTTTGGCTCCCGAAGAGAATTTTTCTTTGAAGCTGATAGAGGGGAGATTAAAAAGGGGAAAGCAAAAAGCTGATAAAGAGGAGATTAAAGGGGAAACGGAAAGATATATGGATACCATCGTGCCTGGAGAATTGTAAAAAAGGTTGCTGTGGAATCCAGGAGCACAGAAGGACAATTAGCGAGCTGTCGTTAAGGGGGAGCAGAAGGCTGGCTTTTGGGAAATGGGAGGGTTGCCCAAAGGGGCCGTGCCAAGAGAGCCCATCTTGCACTCCTCTTAATGAGCCTGCTGCAATCATCTCTCTCCCCTCGGCTTGCAACTCAGAGAGAAGGGCGAGTGAAAGGGGCTGAGATGTACGGATATTGTAGTTCAAATTTCATTTGACTCCACATGATTTAACGGACTGGAATAGAATAGAATAGAATAGAATAGAATAGAATAGAATAGAATAGAATAGAATAGAATAGAATAGAATAGAATAGAATAGAATAGAATAGGAGAAATTAGAATAGAATAGAATAGAATAGAATAGAATAGAATAGAATAGAATAGAATAGAATAGAATAGAACAGGAGAAATTAGAATAGAATAGAATAGAATATAAAATAAGAATAGAATAGAATAGAATAGAATAGAATAGAAAATTAGAATAGAATAGAATAGAATAGAATGTAGAAGGTAAAATGTAAAATGTAGAATGTAGAATGTAGAATAGAATAGAATAGAATAGAAAATAGAATATAGAATAGAATATATAATATAGAATAAAATGTAGAATGTAGAATGTAGAATAGAATAGAGTAGAGTAGAGTAGAGTAGAAAATAGAATAGAATATAGAATAGAATGTAGAATAGAATAGAATAGAATCAGAGTTGGAAGGGACCTTGGAGGTCATCTAGTCCAACCCCCTGCTCAGGCAAGAAACCCTATACCATTTCGGACAAATGGCTGTCCAGTCTCATCTCCATAGACAGAAGGAAGGAAGGAGAGATAGGAACAAGGCATGGAAGAAGGAAAGGAAGGAAGGAAGTAGAAGGAAAAAGGGAATGAGAGAGGGAGGGAGGGATGAAGGAAGGAGAGGGAGGGAGGGAGGAAGGAAGGAAGGAAGGAAGGAAAGTCCAGTTGCCTCATGAAAAAGCACCTTTGGGATAACTAGGACCTTTGTGACGGAGAATCTCCATTGACAATTTTCCACAAACGGACTTCAGTTCCCATAATGCCCCAGCCTGCAGGATCTTTGTGAGAATTCTGGGAATGGATCCGCCTCTCTGGAACCAGGAAGGAGCAGGGGTCTGAAGCAAATGACCGGCATTTAAATCCTCTCTTTTTGGGGGGGTCTTGGGGGGCCTGTTCCAGAGCGCTGCGACGACTGGGGGGTGGACACCATGAAGCACAAGCCGGTCTACAGCGGGGAGCCGGCCAAGATCAAGTGCCCGCTCTTTGTGGCTTTTGTGAAGTACAACTACAGCACGGCCCACGCGGCCGGCCTGACCCTCATCTGGTACTGGATCGGGCTGGGCCAGGACCTGGAGGAGCCCATCAACTTCCGCCATCCCGACAACCACATCAGCAAGGAGAAGGACATGCTGTGGTTCCGCCCGGCGCTGCTGAACGACACGGGGAACTACACCTGCATGCTCAGGTACCCTGGACGAGCCCCCCCTCTCGGGCTTGCTGGGGGGCGGTGGGCGGGGGTCTGCTCCCCACAGTGGCTTCCAGGCAATTGCTCAATGGAGGAGAATAGTTGCAGGTCAAGATGGAAATGGGGGGGGTCCTTGGGGCTCTCTGAGCTGGGCGGCTTTCTAGTTTCATGACCCCAACATCATCATCAGTGTTATGAGGAGGTGGGTTTCCAAGGGGGGGGGAGGAAGAGGAGGAGGAGGAGGAGGAGGAGGAGGAGGAGGAGGAGAAAGGGGGAGGACTGTGGGGTCCTGGGTGTTCTCTGAGCTTGGTGGTTTTCTTGCAGACGTTTCATGACCCAGCTAGGGAACATCATCAGTGCTAGAAGGGGGGGGGAGAAGGAGGAGGAGGAGGAGAGAGAGAGAGAGAGAGAGAGAGAGAGAGAGAGAGAGAGAGAAAGAAAGAAAAGAAAGAA